CTACATTCTTTCAAATCATTTTGCACACACAAAAAATACGGCATTAATTTTCCAAACCAAAACCTTTTTGTGGTGCGTTTTTTCTTCCACCCCCCCCCCCCCCCCCCCACCAGAATAAAAGGCCATGGGCTTCTATTATGGAAATTCACATTGCTTCTGCAAAGGTGGCCTTCTATTGTGGGCTATTTTTTGCTTAGATTTACGAAAAAAACGATATTTTAAGTACTAAAATATAAAAATCCACTGAATTTCTAAAAAAAGTTTCTGGAGATCCCATGGCCTTCTATTGTGTCTTATGAGTTTTTCCTGGGATGGCCTTCTAATATAGGGTAGCCTTGTATTCTGGGGAGGTGTTTAGTGCATCAGATGGATATTCCACCTCTTTGGATTGAGACTATTATTGTCGATTTTCAACGTTGTATTTATTTCTATATATTGATGTACATAAACATTCATATGAAAAAATCAAATATGAGGCGAATAGTATAAGACTTATCTCAGTATATTAGTTCCTAGTGCATTGGATAGATCTAATGCGTGTTCAAAGACGATGCTATTGTGTCTGATAGCCAATGTTTTTTCACAACTGTATTAATTAATAACTATATGAGTCATATAAAAGAATTCCTTTCATTTTGTTGTTTTGTAGTACCTTTAATAAATGTTATACTCGTTCATAGATATGATATTGCTTTGCTTCCAAGTCTCAACATCGCAATTGTCTTTATTATTAAGTAAGAAAGATCAATTTGAGATGAAAGAATAGAAGGAACTGCTAATTGCATTGTTTTGTAAGAAATTGAATTTAAAACATAATAGTTATTGATTACCGGTCTGCTTGCTGGTTTTAGTCGAATTTTCAAGCATCTACATGGAAGGTTTTGAATTGGTAGGCAAGAAAATTCAATGTGATTTCATCAATTAGTACGTTGTAATATTCGGTAGCTTTTTCGATGGAAAGAAATCTTGATTTCATACAATAGAACAGATTCATATATGAAAGAAATGGAGTTATGTCAGTTACTATACATAAGATAGAAGTTGGAGTCATGATGATATTTGTTATTGGCATCTAATCCTTTCGCGACGGGGTTTTTTGGCAGGATACGAGAATTCTAATTTCTTGATAAAAGTCTGAAATAGGATATACACATCCAGGTAAAACGGTGGATTCCATGGAAGTCCATAGAACTCCATAAGATTCCGTAGTTACATACAGGACTAGAGCGACGCCGAAGCCAGTGAAATTCTAGGAGTAGTTTGATAGAAAACCTTGGAATTTCGTATCATCATATACATTAAATAAAATCTAAGATACGGCTGTCTACATGACTAGAACATTAGTAATAGTCGTAGTCCAATGGGGGTAACAATGATTTTCAATTTCTAGATGTAATTTTGCCCAATTGCTTTTAATTTTATAGACTCTAAAATGCTTTAGTTGACAGCTCCTATGGATTCTCATAAACTTTCAAGAGTAGAATTCCGTGTCTGTACCTTAATATCCGTGCAAAGTTGTACCATATGATGATGCTGTGATACTAGCAACATAAAAGAATGAGAACAACTTTATGCCACAGACAATAATTGAGATTATACAGTTGTAATCTATGTACAAGTTCAGCCCGTATTTATACGGGCCTCGCCACGAAAGGTCAATTAAAACTCTGATGATCGGTGGGGTGTGGGTGTAGGCCTTCGTCCTCTCACTATGCATATCGACATTCACACCCACACACTCACACTCCACACCTTGTCTATCTGAGATTTAATATATTTGAAAATAGATAAACTTTTTGAAACTTAAAAAAAAAAGATTTTCGTGTATTAATCAAGTATATCAATTATATTTTCTTCAACTTTTTCATTTGTTGAGATAGGCTGCCAGTTAATTTGTTTTGCTGGTGCTTGAATATCAAAGCGAATGAGAAGACGACCACGTACACCACTGTTACTGGGATCTGGCAAACCATATCTATCAAGCACCAGCTCTGTATCGATGTCAATCGTTCCTTTAGGATCAACATATGCCGTGGTTCCGTCCAATAGAGGGGCTTGTACTACCTTAGCACTACGAGACTAGAACAAGCAAACAAATTTTCTTTTTAAACTAGGGAGAATTAGTACTTACATCGGCATAGCTGATCGATTTAATATAGATCAAATTGGCATTATTGCGTTTGAATAAACGGTGCGGTTTCGATAGAATTGTTATGAATAAATCTGCTGGAATATTGATTGGATCTCTATTACCGACTTCATTCAAACGAATGCAATGACCTTCTTTGCAGCCAGGTTCAATTTTAATCGTATAAACTTGACGATCTTGGCTAAATGTTCCGTCGCTGCTTCGAATTTCACGTGTGATTGCTAGTTCTCGTTGAGTACCAGCCAGAATCTGTTCAAGCGAAATTTCATACACACATGTGAGAGGTTCATCTTTGTAATCGTTAGTTGAGCGAACATTATCATCTCTTCAAAAAAAATTAAACGAACTAATCAATAAAAATGTAAATAGTTCTTACTTTGAATCTTGAATGCTTTTGGACGCATATTACAAAAAATTGATATTGAATTTTTCGCACAAGGCTCGTGGAAGACCTCTCACCTCAAGATAATATTTGGTCAATTCAAATACAATTGTGGGATACAATCCAGCCTTCACACTGCTGAAGAACTTTTGAATATCATCAATATTCTTGATTAGACCATCAAGCGAAATTTTTGAACGAATTTTATCCAAAATAAAATGAAATGATCCAAATTCAGCAGCCAATTCTGCTATGGTTTCTTGAACACAACAACAACATTGTCTAATACTATTGATGAAATTCGTCAAGCCTGAGGTGAGATGTGGTTTGAGAGTTTCCCACAATGTTTTGAGAAGATAATATATTTTTCTGCCAATTGAAGAATTAACGATCACATCAGACACAACTTTGAATGTAACCAAAGGGAAGTAATATGAAGTATTCTCCGATATAATTTGAGTAGCTTCTTCAACATTTATTTCTTTTGCTAGAAATTGTTTGGTTTTTTCATCGATTTCAGATTCACCAAATTTACGAACTAAATATGAACCAATAGCTGCAACTGGATAAACGAAGACAGCCATGATCGTGCAGAAGTACGAAATGGATGAGATTATAAACACAACAGTGTTATTTATAGAATGAAAATAGATGATGATTTTTTCCAACTTATCAAGAAAATATTGCTTGTTGGAAGAAAAAATGATAGCGACTACGCACTTCTATTTTTTTTTCACTGGAAGAACTCGACTACGACAGTTTTGCTGTTCTCTTTTCTATTGTTTAAAGTATAAACATTATCTCTTATTCGTTCTCTTCTTCGCATACTCAAGCAGTTGTCAGAATTGTGCGATTAACGTGTTACAACGTTCTTTCTTCTTTCAACGTGTTTCAAACAGTGAAAAAGTCCGAATTTTCACGCTTTAACATTTCATAAATTTCCGTATATAAACGCGTTATCATAAAAGAATAGGAAAACGCTTAAATGCATTTCTAACTTCACCGGGAAGAAACGCGAAAATTCGGACATTTTTAACTGTGTAGAATGAATTTCAAGAAAGCATTCAAACACTCATGATCCTAATCAGTTAACCCCATTACTTAGCTAAACGTATTAAAACATCATTTTTCAACATTGTTAACTCTGCACAGTATTTTCAGAGATTACAGGATTTATTGCCGTTGTAAACTTTTATTTACAAATACAAATATGCCTGTTCAATTCGAACTATAAGTTTTTGTCTTTTGTTAGAAGCAAATTATATGATTAAGTTAGATAGAACTTAATGATCACAATAAAAAGAAATACTTTTTTTTCTAATTTTCATCTCAAATGTTTCGTGAAAGCAGCTTAAAAATCTCTCTATAGTTCGTAATTAAACAAATAGATCAAAAGTTTAGTTTTCATTTCAACTGTTTGTTTCTTCATTTTTTTTTTCTATAAATATTGTATAAGCAGAAAATAAAAATTAAAGAATTGCTGTTACGAGTAAGGTCAAAGTCTTTTAAAGTACATAAACTCATTTACATGTTTACAAAAATCGACAATTCCTGAATCTCGACGTATTATAAAATACTATGTTACTGACGAAAGATTTCATTATCACATGTCAATGAAAAATTTAGTAGTTTGATGAATAATTGATAGCCAGCTTTTTCTAAACTTTTCATATAAACAAAAAGTGCCTTATACATATTTTTTTACGGCTGTAAACCCAACGACAGTATGCGATATATATATGTATACAGAGAGACAATGTTTTAAAATAAACTATTACATACAATTTATTTACAATTTCTTTTAACTTTCTTTGCAAGTTGCTTTTTCGAACAAGTATTAACATTTTACAAACGTCACATTTTTTTAAATGAAAAACGAGGCTAGCCTAAAATATGCATAATGGTGATCATTATGGTTGTAATTACACCAACAGTAATACTTATAACTAATTCTTCTTCAATATTCCATCGTTCCATCATTTTCTTTGTCCATCGATAAAATCTTTCATATTTTGAAGAAATTCATAACGATCACTCGGCAATACATGATGCCCAAAGATTAAGCTTAATGGATCTTCGACATTCTAACGCATGCGTACTGTCATATACGAGACTGTAAAGACTAGTAATAGACATACCATACAACTAATACTAATAATTCTTTTACAATAAAATATTATATCAGTATGAAAAATAATAACTACTACAAAACAAAGTATAAAAATACAGTTTGAAAAGTGGACAGTTCGATATCATGTATATATCATGCCAATGATAATCAATAAGTAAAAAAGTAGTAGAGATTTAGTCCAGAAAAAATAATCATTGATGTGAATCTGCAAAGAACAAGGCAGATCTGTAAGATTAGAACAACTGTCAGCTAGACTTCTTTTAACAACGATTAAACGTGCATTTGCTAAAGAATAATGAGCATATGTAATGCGACAATCATCGATATAAGATACATTAAACATGAAACCAATAAGCCGTAAGGAGAAGAAGAAGATAGATTGAAATATATCAATGACGAGGAAGACTATATAATGTACATCCATTTGTTCTAAATGGAATATAATGAAAAAAATTCCTTTTATCATAAATGGTTCGATTTAGTGTGTTGATCCGTGTTAAGTGAACTATAATCCATATCCACACATAAACTTATCAAATAGCTCATATTTGAGTCAAATTTTCTTTCCCTAACTTAACAGAGTAATTGTGTTTAAAATTAATAACGTTTATATTTTACTGTTAAAAGCTGTACTACTGACTGTACAACAATTTTCTAAGAATATAAAGTAGCACAATACAAGGTATTTCATATTTTATATTGAATAATAATAAAAAAGGACAAAGCATTGCAAAAACGTTTAGAAGTGTCTGAGAAATTCGGATATCGATGATAGCGTAATATTCCAGAATTATATGAATGTTTTTAGTGTTATGTAGAAAATAGTGAGTTTAATATTTTTGAAAATTGTTAGTTCAATCTGATCACTTTTTTTTCTGGATAAAGAGTAGAAATACTAAAGTTTTTCATCGATGTAATGGAATTTTAACTTTTTGTTCTTTTAATTGTAATTATATGCAAGTTGCAGATGATACAAAAATATAAAATCACTAAAATAGATTTCATAAAGTTCTCATGTTAGCAGAAAAAGAATACTATGTTCAAAAGAAACGTAATTTTCATGGAAAATATCATATTTGAGATGTTGATCCTTTTGAAAGCTTTTTTTTTTTGTTTTGTTTATAAAAGCTAAGTCGAATATTCAGAATCGGCATGCACCAACACACATCTTTGATCTTCAAAGATGTTACATCGAAATTTAAGGTGTAGGAGACTACTTAATAAGTTTTTACGGATAAGTGATTTAGAGAGCATTTTCATAACAAGTATTTTAAGATGAAATATTTTTTTGTGCATTTCTGTATACTTATTCTGAATACGCGGCTTACTTTTTTTTTCAAAAAAGAACTTCCAATGATAGAAATCTCAAAAATTCCCATTATTTTATCATATTGTCTATGGAAAATGACCCCTTCTTTGTACATACTATTCTTTTTCCTTGTAATGCGAAAATTGTCCGAAGTCTAATTTAATAATTTTATATTAGCATGCCATCCACAACAAAAAAACATAGTGAAACAAGAAAATATTAACGAGTAGAGCAAGCATATTCTATGATAAACATACCAATACCTTCAAAAATATATTATGGATATAGGAAAAAGACTTTTTTTCTATTAAAATTTGTCTATTTTTCGTATGGGATAAAATTGCAAAATACATTCGACGACAAGACTTTATGAGCTCTATCACTGGGTAGAAGTATAAAAGCTACTGATTATTGTCGCATGAACTGCGCTAGATTGACATCATGGGAAAAGGATTGAACAGCGTTTTCAATAGACTTTGTAACGTCTCTGTAGAACTAACGTGAAATTTTGAATGTTTTTATTCAGATGTAAAAGACGCCAATAGCTATATTTAGAATAACAAGAAATCAAACGTTTCTCAAATTTAAAAAACAAAGTTATTTATATTATAGAGAATCAGCTGAAAATCGAATATAAAAACCAGAAGAAAATTATTAGATCGGGCTGAAAATTTCAGACAATACTAAACTTATTACATTCTATAGCATATTAAAAAATTAGCAAATTCTGGAATATTCTTCCATTATCAGTGCCTCATAGTGAATCATTCTCTCTTAGATACTGACTCGTGAAATCTTTTCCAATAATTATCGCTAAAGTGTTCACAAGACATTTGTTTTAATTATCGATTACATAGTAATATAGGTGATTTATTTTATTTCAACTTCTATTCTTAGAAATTCCTATAGAAACTAACATAGCGAATTTGAAATGGCAAACATGAGTCGTTGAAAACATGTGAACATATTAATCTTCTCTGAAAAACATTCGGTTTAAATAAAATCTATGTCACAAACTTTCATAACTTATGACTAACTGTTGTTCAGAGAGGTTAGATAAAGAATATGGCTTTCCTTGAACTATAATGACAGTTTGAGAAAACGAATTTTTCGAATTATTATATAAATAAGCATGAATTATAAAACATGTAATGATTAACGTGAAATATCACTTGTTTACATAGTTTATGACAAGAGAAAGATTTCATTCTCTAATGATCGTTATGTAAATAAAAAACAAATGTTTTATTGAAAAATTAATTCGAGGAATTGATTCCACTATAGATATTTAAATATTCGAAAAAAGAAGATCAATGTCTAAGTATTTTTCTTTTGAAATGGAAAAAACATCTTGCTGATTTACGGCAAAAGCGTAACATCTCTTTCCATTCGGTGTCTCATTCAAAAATAGAAGTTAAATATAAACGTTTGTTGTGACCGAACGATAACTTCTTTTTTTATGCAATATGAAAGTATGGGTCTGAGCAAATATGTCGATATATATATATATATATATATAAGGGTCATCGATATTTACACTCGTTCGCTTTTCTCTGTTGACCATTACCATGGATATATAGAAGCGATTGTATCTGATTTGAAGTAATCCTTATAACTATCGCAAATGTGTTACGTTGGTTGGTTTCAATAAGAAGAATCGATTGAGAGATCCTTGAAGATAAATTCAGATTTTACTTAATATTGATAATAGATATACATGAATAAACAAGCCAATCAGGTGTGAATTTCTCTACCAAAAAAAAAGATCATCTTCTCTAGTAGTATATAAAGTCATCGTTTTTAATGTATTCAATTATTATTCTTCACTCTCATCAATTGAATGAGGTATTTCTACGTATAGTTCAATTACTGTTCCTATTCCTGTTCCATGTGTAACGGTAGCTGAAGAATAGATAGAAATATATCATTCAATCGATGACCATTCTCTTCGTTTTTCTTTTCCTTATGGGATGAATTATTGTAACAGAAGAGGTACTTTATGGCATAAATCAAGAAGATCTCTTTAGTCTTTTCTATTAGCTGGTTGAATGCCTCTATATTCGANAACACTCCACACCCACACCCACACCCACATCCACACCCACACCCCACACCCACACCCACACCCACACCCACACCCACACCCACACCCACATCCACACCCACATCCACACCCACACCCACACCCGGCCGGGATCCAAAGGATACAGAGGATACCAGAATCCGCTTTTCCACCCTTGTGTAAAAGTCAATATTATGGATGCTATAGTTATTTAAGTTTTTTAATATCCAAATATTTATTCGTTGAGATGATTTGAGGTGTATGTGAATGCCTACATGTAAAAAGTATATCAATCATTTCTCTGGATGACGTTATCAGTCGTTTATGCAATCCTTTGTATGTAGGCAAACGCATTGCTTTACTCTGTTGGATACACACACATGTTTCTTTAGTTGTTTTTACTTTTTCTTTCATTTGTATCTTTGCAATTCCTTTGTTTTATCCATTACCAGCACTATTTCGCATTGTCCTCCTTTTTTTTTTCTTTCATGACTCTTATTTTTCTGCGTATCTTTGGAATGAGTTTGCACCATTTAAAGACGATATTAGATTTTCTTATTTTCATCTATCTGATCGGTGCTATCATTATCGTTTTTAAAACGAATCAGTTGTATATTTTCTATCAAAAAAAAGTCATCTGAAACGCAGAATTTATTATCATCACAAAAATTTTCTTTTGTATCACCATATTAATTTAGATAGAACAAGAACGATGACCGAACATTATCAAACAAAACCTCATTATCAAATAAGCGACACAAAAAATGTCAATCTGTTAAATGAGCGTAAAGCGGCTACATTCAGTGTTGAAGAACTGACACAATTTATGTTCGGTGAACCTGGCAATTATTTTGAGATAAACACACGACGTCAACTCAGTTGAGTATGAGATCAGTTGATTGTCTATTATGAATTGTTTTCCCGTATGCAGTTCGTCTGGCTCTTGCTCATCCAATACATCGCACACATTTACCACTTGAATATCTCGATGCTGATGAACACTATTCAGTTACTATTCGTAAGAGTCTGTTGGCTATTCAAGAAGCAGCTCGTTTAAATATTACCAATAACAAACATCGTCTATGGTTTTCTTATGTATTTACTGATAGCCATTTCCTATTCTATGTTCATACATCGATGTGTTTATATGCGCTTGAAACAATGGCAAATGAAGAACAAAAACAGCAGTTTCTACCACTTGCACAATCTTTTCGTATCATTACAACTTATGCTCAAACAGAACTAGGTCATGGGACAGATTTAAGACGATTAGAAACCGAGGCCGTATTCGATCGTACATCTGATTCATTTGTACTTAATACACCTACATTGACATCGATCAAATTTTGGCCAGGTGCATTAGGTAGAACAACTAATTATGTTCTTCTTATGGCTCAATTATACACACCTAATCGTGATCATCCATGCGGATTGCAAATATTCTTGGTACAAATTCGAGATTTGAACACACATGAACCATTGCCAGATTAAATTTCTGCTTGTAAGTCAATAGACCATATACGTAGCAATGTGTTTAGGTGTAGAATTAGGTGAGATAAGCACTCGATTTGCACATGCTGCTGGCGACAATGGTTATCTTCGATTAAGTAACTTACGTATAACACGTACACAAATGCTCATGAAGTTAGCTCAGGTATAGTATAATTTCAGCAATAAAATTGCATTGCATACGAATTTATATGGTTCTTCTTTGAGTAGGTCGATGAGCATGGCACTTTTCATCATCGAGGCGGTTCTCGTCTTTTATATAGTGCAATGATTCATATGCATATCCATCTGTGTTATACTTTTGCAGTTTCTCTTGCTCAAGCAATCACTATTGCTGTATGTTACTCAGCAGTTCGATTTCAAGGACAAAATTGTAATGGGTATATTTTGTTTTATCACAGAGTTCATTTTGTTATTTGACTTTTTGATGTTGATCCAGTGAAAAATATCTCGATTAAAATCGAATTTCTGTGCGATAGCATCACAATTATAATTGATTTAGATTTCTAGCAGTTTTTAATGTTCAAAATCTTCTGAATTAATTATAATTTTGATTTTGTTGCACAATAATTCGATTAGAATTTAAACATTTTCCACTAAAGATCACATAGGAATGAAATACAAATACTTGATTATCCACTACAACAAGAAAAATTGGTACTATGTCTATCTACTGTTTATGCATTTCTCATTGCCTTCATAAAACTTGACACCTACTTCAATAAAGCAAAAACAAATGACACCGTTTTTCTTGATCAATTACCAGAAGTGAGCAATATCGTGTCTTGTTTTTAAAAGATTATCAAATATTTGTGGTATTTTGCCAAGTCAGCTTCATGCACTTCCGTCGGGTTTAAAAGCATATACGTCATCAGTAGGTGAACGATTGGCTTAAGTATGTCGCGTAGCTTGTGGTGGTCATGATTTTTTGGTGGCGAGTGGAATAGTGGGAATTAAAAGCTATCTTGATGCAGTGTGTAGCGCTGAAGGTGATAATGTTGTATTATTCCTGCAAACTGCGAGGTATAATTAATAATCTGTGAAATCCCACATAATATGTGATTCGTGTGTGTATAGATGTCTTCTAAAAGTTATGCAACAAGTTGAAGAGGATAGTAGGGAAAAAATTGGTTCATCCACGGCCTATTTGTATTTACCATTATGGTCTTCAACAACGATAATCAATCTTGATGATTATTGCCGTCTATTCGAGAATCGGTCTCAGTTGCAAGTATTTAAACTTGATTGGTCGTTTTTTTTTTCATTATATATATTGTAGGTTGATCAAAGAGGCTTGCATACACATGTTGGAATCATCTTCGTCTCCTTATGATACATTCATGAAAAATTCAATTTAATTAGTGCATATGGCTAAGGTAGAAGATCGAGTACTCTATTATTTGTTCAAAGATTACTGATTTACTATTTTCAGGCCCATATGGAAACATTTTCGATGAGAGCATTCTACGAACAGGTGAGAAAAGCCGCTCAACATCCATCAATTTCAATAATTCTTGAGCAACTCTTTTATTGTTTTGCCATTCACACTTTACGAAATGAATCAGCGGATTTCATTCGAGTAAGTATATTAATATGGGTATGGCTTTACATTTCTGTACATGTCTGCTTGTATAATAGTTGAAACTGCTGTCAGCTGATCAAATATATGAATTTGAAAGCCGCATTTTGCCTGACATATATACTCGGCTCCGTCCAAATCTTGTCATTCTAGTCGATGCTTTTGATTTCCACGATCATGAACTCGGTGAGTCTAACATTTTTTAATGACTTAATGAGTGTTTCTTTCGAATAGATTCTTGCCTGGGTCGCTACGACGGACAAGTCTATGAATCTTTAATGGAGCGTGCTCGACTCAATCCATCAAATCGACACAAAGTAAGCAAAAAAAAGAGTTTCGAGATAGAAGTAAAAGCTGCCTCCTATTTTAGGTTCATCCAATATGGTTATTAATGAAACAAGGGGCACTAGCCAAACTTTAGATGACAGTGAATTCTGTTCTTAACTATTACTTAATTCTTTTTCTATGATTTTATTAGTAATTGCAAGAAAAACATTTCAATATAAAGTGTAATATGTATCATTATTTTATTTATGAGTGATAACCGTATTCTTACTTCTTACCACTAGTATAGAATCAGCCAAGATGATGATCGATTCGACGATATTCATCGATGTGCACTTCTGTATAGAATTGATTGACATTCTATGTAACAATAGCGCTTCTATTGTTGTTCACATGTTGTCTTCTAATAGTCATTGATTATTATCAATTTTGGTGGGTCGTTGTGAGTGTCTATGAGTACGCATGTGGTCTGAGCAAGGGTGTGAGTTGTAAATGTAGGCTTGTGGATATTGGTCTGAGTGTAGCTGAGTTCGAGTCGTTTCTTTTGTGAGGTGTGGATGTGACCTTTGATATGGATCATGGTGCGTACATGGATGTCGAATGGGATTGTGGTAGATGTGCAAGAAGAAAAGAAGTTCATCAACCACCACCCACACCTTCATTTACACTCCAAATATAAACAAAGTTTATGAATGATATTATATCAATGCACTTAGAGCACATTTTAGAACTAGTTAGTTTAGCAGTGAAGAATTACGAAATTTCGAATTTTCAAACATGGAATACCAGTTTTCGCAAGGAAATTGGTGTCTTGGTGCCTAAAGCGTTACAATTTTGTATTTTATCTATGGGGTATGGATTTCAGCGTTTAAACTAAAATTTTTTGAAAACCTATTCTTTATGCATCAATATAATATTGTTCATAAAATTTTGTTTTTTGAGTCCTTCTTCTTATTCTCTTAGATTACTACTGAAAAGTATCTTAGACGGGTGTAGGTGTCTAATGAATAACATGCCCACGCCTACAACAGTGCCATTCGACGAAGGACATAGGATTCCTGAACCCGTAGGTATTAGAAGATTATTCTTCATTATGAGACATCGATCTGTGACATTTTATCTTTGACAAACAACGTCATACTGCTCGAAAGAGAATGAGTAAAATAACAGATAAGACTTTGATAAGAAAGAAGCATTGCGTAGAATAGCGAGCTGAGCACATTTGCTACGCAAAGTTATGTTTTATTCTTTTGTTTCTCATCCTCAATTTCAGATACTCTATTTCAATGGCTACAGCCAAACAACGTTTCGTACCAGTAAATCAGGAAGCAACTGCCCGAGCATTGGGTGATACGACAAAGCTTCATCAATAGTCATTTTTCATTTTATTTTTGAATCTAAGAAATCATTTTCTCCAGTTGCCCAAAGCAATACAAATGGCTTTAACGAACAGAATCAATGAGAGCTTCGAACTAATAAAAATACCAAATTGCTTCGATTGGTCATATCAACATTTTGAAGAAGGTCAGACGATATCTGCCTTTGAAAAAAGTTCTCTAGATACCGTGCCATATTTCAAGTGAGTAGATAACACATAGGAATTTATCGAAATAATTCAATACACTCACTATTATGCAGTTTCAAGACCATATATTTAAAACCGATGGGCAGTTTTGATCATGAACGGTAAGAAGAGGTTTATTTTCTATTCTGAACGACATTCATTAAATTTTCATAGAGCTCCATCACTCGATATCATCGTAAAGTTTACTCGTGCATTTTTTCTTGGATCTCGTGTTGAACTTCTGCCAATGGTCAATTTGACTGGATCAATGCCGCATAGAAAAAAATGACTTTTGCTGATCAGATTCAATATCGGACAGACGGCTTCCAAAGATATCTCGCTCAAATTCGACATCAACAAAATCCTCGACAAAAATTTCTCTATGTGGCTGTGACCATGGTCGACATTTATCCGAATGAGGATTGGAATTCTGTCTATGGAGAAGCAAAAATCACAGAAGAATTGGGAGTGTATTCATTTTCTCGTCTCGATCCCTTATTCCTGATGAACCCACAGCAATCCGCCCGTATGAGTGGGTGGGTGTGGGTGTCAGTATTTCTTTAACCCACACCCCTACACCGTTCGAAAGAGGAAAACATTTTCTATCAATTGGTACTAAAACTTTCTTTTCAGCACATATTTATCGAAGAGATACAAAGATCGACATTTTGCGCCACGTTTCTACAAAAAAACGCAGAATTCTTTTGAGGACATCTCTCTTTTTTACTATATTGTTTCATTTATAGATGTAGTATAAAAATATATGATACACTTTTCGAAAGAGGAGGAAGAGCGCTATCTTTTGGTAAAAAGAGTTTTCTTTCAGCGTCTTTCTATTGAAGTGAAATATTGATCAACATTTTGTGCCATTTCTTGTGTATCGTACGTTATTATATTAGAACGATTCTTTTTTTGTTCATATTGAACAATATTTCTTATTTTTGTATCGATCGAAATATCAGGATATAACACCTCCATCGTTTTCCGGATTTGATAGATGGTCAAACCTTTCAGAGCCAGATCACGAACAATTGAATGAATTTCTATTGGTAATCTTGTATTTTCAAGTGATTCATGTTCGTGATGTTGAGAATAAGAGATTTGGTAATTACCATCATGATAAACTTTTGCTTCAAATTGATATTGACATTTGGTAAACCTTCTATATTGTCAACATCTGAATGTAATCGATTCATAATTTTAGCCCTTTGGGGACGGGAAGCATATATATGTGCTTCAATTCTGATTCCATCAGCACCTAACCTAAGCTAATCTCTAACGATGTTCTAATGGCAGAAATGACGGTATAGATCATGAATTTATTACTTTCGATACATGGTGATGTAATCGTTTGTGTTGTGTCCCCATTCACCTTCTTTCTTTCTGAACTTAGATCCATTACTTCTATTATGTCACTATCGAATAATCATACATACTATGGATTTTTCGCGTACATTTCTTTAGCCATTTTCTTACGAGTTCTCTTTTTGCTAGTATATTCTTATTCTATCCATCAAAAATATATAGATATATCTGCCCTTGCTGTTCTTTATTTCTTTTGAATATCAGAATGACAGCAGTCAGAGAAAAAAACACAATTGAATTTAACGAAATTTTCACCAATCCTGAGTCACAAAGTGAATCAGATGCAGAAGCTGAAAGTGAACCAGAAATTGGTGAAAATAGTGATTCAGATGCAGAAACTGTAGATGAATCGGAGACTAGCGAATATAGTGACCACAATGTCGAGAGTCCTACGGAAGTTTTCGATGATGAAGATGTTTCATGATCTCGTAGTTCAACTTGCACTTCAAGATTGTGGACAAAATCAAGTTTTAGGCCAAAATTATTCCAATTTCGAAACGATGGTTGTGGAATCGCTTGTGACTTAAAGGGAGAGCACCGTTAGACTTTTTTAAGTTATTTTTTGATCAAAAATTGATTCATATTATTGCTGATGAGACAAACAAATTTCAAGTAAATTCATCTGATGAACATACATCGTCATTATCACATCAAGCAAAATGGACTCCAACTGATTTTGAAGAAATGTGTCTTTTCCTGGCGCATATGAAGAAGTTTAGAATTAAAGATTACTGGTCAACCGATCCCTTGATAGCAACGCCAGTTTTTGGTGATATCATACCTAGAGATAGATTCTTACTACTTTTGAAATTTCTGCATTTTAATGATAATACATATCAACCTGAAGGAGACAGATCATACAAGATAAAACCTGTCGTGCAAGATTTGAAGCAAAAGTTCCGACGTATTTTTATTCCATATCAGAACCTATGCATTGATGAAAGCTTGGCACTTTACAAAGGGAGATTAAGTTTCAAACAATACATTTCATCCAAATGAAGCAGATTCGGAATTAAATTATTTTTTTTGTGCGATTATCACACTAGATGTATATTGGATTTCGTGATTTACATAGGATCTGCAACAGAGATTCATCATAGTAAAGAGCTTGAAATACCAGGATCAATTGCAATGACTCTTATACAATCGTATAATCAAAAAGATCACAATTTATTCATGGACAGTTGGTATTCAAGTCCAATCCTTTTCGAAGAGTTACATGCGAACTCAACAGGAGCCTGTGGTACTGTGCTACAGAATCGCCTCGGCATGCCATACTTTACTAATACGTTACAAAAGGGTGACAGCGATTACCGGAACACAAACATTTTACTTCTGTAATAGCATACAATACAAATATGGGCTCCGTTGACACATCCTATATGCAGATTAGTTGTGTTGAATGTATTCGAAAGACAACGAAATGGTACAAGAAACTTTTCTTCCATTTTCTAGATTTATCTGTGCTCAATTCGTTTAATTTATATAAACACAAGACTCGTAACAATATTCGGTTCTATGAATTTCGATTACAATTAATTCGTCAAATCATTGAGATGTATGAAAAGTCAAAAGCACCAAAATGTCGGCCTAGCTCTGGAGAAAATCCTAATAGACTTATTAGTCGTCATTTCCTGTCACTTATACCGTCAACAACTGGAAGAGAAAAAATCAAGGAAACAATGCGTGGCCTGCGCAAATGCAACAAGAAGAGCTAAAAAGAGAGCTGTTTCCAGATACGAAGGCACTGAATGTAACGTCGGACTTTGTATTTCTGGTTGTTTTCGCGATTATCATATGTTGAAATACTTCTAAATGTTTATTCTTTATATTTTTGTGAATAAATGCATTGTTCTGTATTTCAAAAAAATTTATTTATTTTTGCTACAGTAATCCCGTCCCNTTATAATAAGAAAAATGATAAATTAAGAAAAATGAATTTAAAAAAATAAAAAAATAGTGAGCGAATAGCAACAATGCAAATAAAAAATAGAGCGCCCGTAGAAAAAAGTCTAAAGAACATTATGTTCGAAATTAGAGAGATTCTTACTCTTGCGATTGATTATCCTGCAAAACAACATTAGTCTAGAAGAGATTTTTCAGTTTACGTATTTTATATTAGTTGAATGAGGCTAGAGAGCATATGTGAGTTCCACATTTCAGCCCCAAAGGGGCTGCGCTAACAAGCTTTTTCTTCTACACAAAGTCAACGTGGTCCTAGTAAGACTTCTCAATAAATTAACTTTTAATATTTACTACATTTTTCTTTAGCTACTTGTGCTCTTAGTCATATAATTGATTATACAAGGGTATGTGGGTGTGAGTGTGTGGATGTGGGTGTGGATCCTGAACTCTCGTCACTCACACCCACACCAACCCTACACCCACATCCACCCACATCCCCACATCCACCAACACCCTAGTCTATCGTCGTTTAATATGTATCTCATGATAGTTTATCATAGAACAACACGCATTTCTTCTCATTCTGGTTAGAATAAGTAGGTACCCCATTATGAAGAGTTGGCCACATAGAGAAGTTTTATTGTAGATGACAAACGTTTACAGCTAAAAACAAAATGGATGATATGTATTTCTTAGTGGAATTACGCTGTTTGACGAAATTGTAACTACTTTAGCCAACTCTGTTCAAGTTCAGATGAACAAAATAATTATCGATTAATTCGTGATTTTGTAATCAATATTCAGAACAAACAAAAAAAAATACATTTAGTTAGTACTTTATACAATTTTAAACCTGGTTAGTCAGCACTATATATTGTATAACACGTGAAATAAATCTCTAGAACGCGGTATTATAATCTAAAGAACATTGAAGCATACAATTCAAATAGATTTCCAGATTTATTTTACTTCGAGTTTTTCTTGAACTTTATTGTGAATATTGTTATTCATTTTGACATAAATTGTCATGGTTGATAATAATAAAGATGAGCGAAGCATAAGCTGAGAGTAAAACACAGTATCTTAGATAGTACGAAAGATTAATTTAAAGTTTTAATTATATTCAAGGATCCTGAAGAAGACTTGTTCATGTGTTAATCATTCTTTCATGTTAATATGAACTTGAAATGTTGCTACAACCAGAAAATCATATTCTTGAGATCGGCTTCATTTTCTATCACACTTGATATTGCCTAAATAAATGTACACTTATATAAAGTATAAACAAAATATCATTTTCTTTTTGTATGATTCTATTAATATTTATTCAAAAAAAACTAAAAGATTAAAAATAAATATATCCTTTGATTATAGGATCGTGCGTTTTGACAATATTCTACATTGCAAGTATTATTTGGTTAAGCCAATTTACATAGACAACTTTATAAAATAATATCGAATCATTTATGAATTGAAATAAAATCTAAAATTAACGACTTCAAACATTTGATTCATTTGTATTTGACTGAACATAATAAAAAAGTCGTTTCATTCGTCAACTGATAATCGTATTGAAAAATATTGTACTTGTTAATATTACTATATATTACATAAAGAAACTCATCAAAATGATCAGTGTAGAAAAAATTTTTATAGAAACAATTAGAAAGATTTGAAATTAAAAAAAAATATTCGAAAATGCATATGAATTTTCGGACAAAGTAAGTTAAGATAAAACAAAAATAATAAGTTTCGCAATTAGAAAAAAATATTCATCAATCGAATATTTTAGAAATGTTGAAACCTATCAATGAAAGAAGAAATGTACTTACGGTTCAGAAATTGATGATTCAAAGAAATCAAATTGGACTCAGCTTTTGAAATATTTGCATTGGGATTGTATGTGCTAATCTTTGTAACCCCATCAGTGGGGTTGAGTGTGACAGTGTTTCAAGCTACCTCATTAATTATATAATGCTTTATATTTCTTGAACGCTTTAAAATGTAAAGAATTCAAGAAAGTTAAGTGGAATTCACTGTTTGAAGCTTCTGAATTTAGATTGCATGTATCAATCTTTGTAACTCCTTCGATGAAGTTGTCTCACTATTTTTTGAGTCATCCTTATTGTAGATTATTTTGAATTTCTCGAATTCTACCTCAGATACTATTAGATTTTCAATTTGTGGATGGTGAGCACCAATGGATCTAGTAGAAGTTATGCTGAAAGGTTTTTAAACAAAAAAAAAATGTATGCTGCTACCGTGTTCATGGAACTGCTTAACTTCTTCTGCTCATGAACATACAATGCTCATCAAGAAATGGTTACAGTATAAATATCCTGTTTTATATATTGATCCAGAAACCTGATACATGCAATTTCGCGATTGCAAATTTCAGAAATTTAGATTCTCTTCATCATTATTGTTTTCGTCGTCATCTTCGACCAGCTCGACTTCGATTTCCCATTTACATCCATATTGATGCACACTGATAATTTTCAATTTCGTTCCTACAGCCAAAAGTGCTTCTTTCTCGTCACCTACTGCACTCCATTTCCAAATATTAGCCACATTCTTCTTTGATTTTTCAGTACTCATGTCTGTTCGCAAGATCATCACAGCATTGCCTGCATAGATCAATAATCGATCCGTTGTGAATGACCAGAACGAATTTGTATAGATACATTCGTATCGTTTCTCTTGATAGAAGACGATTTCCACATCACTTAGTATCAACCCTCGATAATACACTTGGCGAATATTTGATTGCTTTAGACCTCGGATCAATGAACGCAGTTTGTTGACATAGATCCAATCGATGTGATCAAGGTCGCCACTCAGCAGATTCAAGTTCGTTTTCATGTAGCACTCGCTCGATCGACTATCAGTGTACGAATGAAGAATATCGAGCATGTCGTCGGTCAGTTTATCTTCGTCGATATTCGATGGATACAGTTGTCGTAAGTGTGAACGATAAGGATTGAAAGTGAAGAGTTTACAATTGATGGAATTGGCCGAATGATCATAAGAGAAATAGTTGGTATCGAAGTCGTTACTAGCCGAAACTATTGTGTTCGGTAGATAACGGCTCGTTCGTATATCAACAATACATTTTTGCATGTCGCAACACTAGATTGGTCAGGTAGAAAAAATGCAGATATTAACGTATCGTTTGTCATGTTTTATTTTTCTTGCAGTCGTGTTGTGAAACATGAAGAAAGAGAAAAAACATCCGCATGACTCATTGTTATTCCTTTGAAGTAATAAGTATCTTTATAGTAACATGTGAGCTGCTCTTGAAGCCATCAAAAAAATGCTGTAAAGCAAATCGATTTTCATCAATTCTTTTGTTGACAGCGACGAAGTTGATTTCTAGCGGTAAGTCAAGTTTGTCTAAGCAGAAAAAAATTCAGAAAACGCATGTAAACATCCTAATCACGATCCTCGTTTGTACACTGTTATGGGCATACAAAAAACACAGAAACCAGCTACTTTCATCAAAAAAGATGCGTGGAAACGTTGTAAAATGCAATTTTTGCACCTAGAAAACGTCGAAAAGGTTTCTTCACAATATTATTACACATATCACGCATTAATAAATAATTTTATCTGGCAAACACTTAAAAGCATGACGAGAATTTTTTTTTCACTTTTTCTAGATGATACGGTTGTCTTTCTCAACAACTTCATACACCTTTTATGATGAAAGTAGCTGATTTTGGTGTCTTCTAAATGGGTATGAAAACGCTCAAATGAGAACTGCGATCATAGCGTTTAAATGATTTTTTAAAAATTCTTGTTTGCCTGGGTGAAATCTCAAAAGTGACAAGTTGAAAAACGTCATAGTATATACGAATACGATGTTATTCAGAGCAAATTTTGGACCTTAAAAAGTACCATCTTTCGACCTGAAACAATTCGGTCCAGGAAATGTCTTTGGAGCTTTTTTCTGCAAGATCATGGGTAGACCACGAGGTTTGCATTTTACGATGGCTTGTTTCTATTTCAAGATTGGTAGTCTACCCAACAAAATATGAGAAATCTTTTGAGTTTATCCAAGTATGCAGTTCACAGCGAACTTTTGCCCGATAGCGAGGCTATTGTAGACTATCTTTTTTTCTAACAACACTATTGAGTCTCAAAGATGATGTGGCATTTCGCGTCAAAATTATGCATCAAACGGAACGAAGAATAACCCATTCATGTCACTTGAAAGTCTCTTTACGATGTAGGTGAATATAAACAGTGCAGTCATAAAAATAAATTGTAAATGTGGCGTCTTTCCATCAAAAACGCAAACAAATCGTTTAAGAATGTGTTCCACACGATTCACTTTATGGGTATGAAAATGTATTTTTCCCTACAAAAGTCTTTTTATATTCGTATATATTTTAATTACTTTATTATGTTTATACTATTCTATTGCATGTATCTCAGTAACTTCTTCGTTAAAAATTCTAAAGATTGCTGGCTGTGAATGAGGCGTGAGTGTGGCGCTTCTTTTGATTTATACAAAGATTCACAGTTTTTCCAGTCACGGACAAGATTTAAACGATAATTCAAATGACAACTATCCGGTTGGAACAGACCATGCAGTGAAATCTGTCTGTGATCATCTTTTTGCATAAAACTGCGGAATTCAACTAATTTTGTGTTGCATCAATTTTTTGACAAGAATATAATAGTAAAACGGCTCAGACAGGAAAATAATTCAAGGCGATGAAGTTATTTGATAAGAAAAAGGATCGATTCTCGATTACTTCATATTGTATTTGTGCTCGAGCAGTCTGATTTAATGGAAGTGGACAACTGGGGTACTTTGAAGAATACCTATCGAAGATTTTAAGATCAACAGCAGAATGATCAAGATGGTAATGATCTATTTTTCATTGTTCAACTTGAATCGAGTATCAAACAATGGGTAGTAGTGGTTAATGGTCTTCTCTTTGTCCACCAAGTCACACCCACATCCGGTAGAATACGGCGGGCAAACGCCCGTTTACGCCTCTTACTCAGACAAGAGCTCATTTTAATGCGTTAACATGTGCGCTTTTTACCTTAACAGACGGCAGAAAAAAAATTTTGATTGTTTTAAAAAGCATGTTTTTGGGCATCATCGTCTTTCGATTCGCTTTTCTTTTCAAAACAATTTTTTTTTGAAAACGTAAAAACATGTTTTCTTATCAAGTTTGTCTGACTTGATGATGTTACAATAATTTATGGTGCGACGTAACGATTAACAGGCGTATATAAATGCAACACTTGTGATAAAACAGAGACAGTCGGATTATGACATCATTTAGTCAAGGTATAGATCATTATAAAATTGTTTGTGAACTGTTATTTGCACTGGAATCATGGACATATGAGCAGAAATCTAGTTTACTACACACGATCGTCGATTGGGTAACTCAGTTCGAAAAATCGATGCCTACGCAGTTGAAAAACAACATGTGCCATTTGCATGAACTTTTAACACAAGATGTCGTCACAGCATCAATGTTGCCCGTAGATACTATTCTTAAAGTGATACAATCAGTTGAAGTTCCATCTGAAGTATGGCTTGATTGTCTCCTCAATGCACTTTCGTCTGAATCGGATAATAATAATCATCATCCAATATCCTTCAATTTCGCACCAGTAATCATTTCGAACGCAGCCATGACTGTAGACTTGACACCATCGACATTATTCAATTCGACTTCATCCACACAGCAACCTCCATCGAACAATCAAAACAATAGGTATTGTATACTTTTTTTTTCCAGATTCATATCATAATATTCAAGAAGTAACATGGTACTTCTTCTAGTATGGTGGGTCAGCCGTCACTTGATGATAGCCATGTGACTCATCAACTCCTTTCATGTGAATCATGGTCTACCACGTCAATGACACCGATTTTTCCAGCTGCAGTTGAAGAAGAGTCACCAGTTGATTATAAAAACTCTCTAAGTGAAAAACTCGATGAATTGTCTCAACTAGAGTGGAACCCTTCTGCAGTTCAATCACTCGAGCGCATGTTCAATAGTTCACAAGTAAAAAATAATATCTCAGCATCGAAAACAGCCCTCTTCATTGTTGATGCCATTGTAATTAATAAAATATCACATCCATTTCATGTCAAACGGATTGTCAACACAATTAGTATGTACCCAGAAAGTCAATGGATGGACGAAATAAATAGAATTATTGGCGAACAAGATAAAGCTAAATCAGTTCCACTACTTCTTCAAGAATTAGCTCGAGAAAATGCATCTTTGAATATAACCGAATTGAAAAAACAGTTTCGAACGGTGATGAAACATTATGAAACACAAACGTCTCGATGGAAGTCTTCAGATATTCGACAATTTCACATGACCAACGATGAACTTCATACAATTGCTGTCATTGTTCAAGCGGCACATCTTCACAAACAATATTGTCCAAGAGATATTCAAATTTTATCTCTTCTTCTTCTAATTAAAAAACAGTGTAAAAGTCAAGGACGATTAGCACAAATACGTACTGGCGAAGGCAAATCCATTATTGTGGCCATGTGTAAGTTCAAAATTTAAACGTAAAATTCGAGTTCAATTCTAACCAATCATACAATTTGAAATCGTCAACATAAATAATTCATTGCAGTGAGATAAACTCATGTAGGATAGTATACCATTATTTAGTCTCGAGTGATGCAATCTGAACTCTTTTTTTTTTTTACATTTAATTTATAGGCTCTGTCAACTACATTCTCCTCATTGTTAAAAAAAAGTCATTTTCTTCTTTGGAGACAATCAAATATCCGTATTCTGTATTTGTATTTTATTAAAAATGTTCCATAGACAACAAATATGCGTTTCTCAGATCGATAAGAGTCGTTAACGTTGTAAAATAATTCTAAGCTGCATGAAAAAGATGTTAAATATCACCTGATGATGTTATGCAGAAAAATTCAGAAAGATTTAGAGAAAATTTTTGTCTGTTACTTCACTTCTTCATTATAGAGAGGGACAAAAAAACTAATGTAAATGAAACAAATTTGAGATTTGTTTGTCGCCAATAAAATCTAGTTATTATTGAATAGATATATATCAATACAAATATACTACGATGTTGATATTGAACATGTGGCCTAGTATTATTATGGGTGGTATCAGGATTGATTGGTATTGATATTCTTGGCCATTGCTATAAATTCGCACCTGAAATGAACAATTGTTGCTTGTTCAAGCATTTTCTATGTTTCGTTTCAGTGCTTTAAAAGCCATTGCACGGATGTCTTTACTAATCTTCGGCAATTTGAGATATCCACTTTTTGATGATGCTCTTAGGTAGTTCTAAGTACTTAGTCTTTAGGGTAATTTTTTCCGTAAATTCGATTTCAAAATAAATTATCCTCAGCTTGCCATATAAATCTCTCAAATAGATTCTCTTTGATATCTTCCTATCGAGTTCCCTTAAAAACTATCTGAGTGAGTACAATCAAAACGTTAGTATATTGAATTACGCAAAGTTGGTCATTGCACTCATGAAATGACTTGTCATACATGACACTAATACATACATTAAAGAAAGTAGAGAAAATCCTAATTATAATCAATAAATCAATATTAGCTGAAATCCAAAGTTTCAGTTATCGAAACGGATAATTTTCAATTTTTTCTGGCAACGATTCCTTCAAGATCCGTTGAGTTCTGATCGATTCCATTGAGTTCGGAAGAGTTCCTTGCAATTGGACTAAGACACCGTTTTTACTAGATGAATCCTGAGCAGTTTCAAAACGTACTGTCCATAACTCAGCGGAAAGTCATCGAAATATGTCCAAAAAAATTGTGTCGGAATGCAACTGCAAGAAAGCCGCTAGAACTCAGTGGAATCGGTCGGTTTCAATCGAACAAAAATGATCTGGATTATTTTAATAGCTCAATATCTTTATTGGTTTTGGTACATGCCTATAAGTGACATCATTTTGAAGTGAAAATTTAAAAAAAGATTTGTTGTTATTTTTATGCAGTCCGTATTGTTTTATCGTAGTGGCTGTTTATCTTTCACTTCCCCCATTGAACAAACGTGTCGATATAATAACCACTTCAGAAATTCTTGCTCGACGTGATGCTGAGGAATTCGCCCCTTTCTATCAAATGTTTGATCTCACGGTTGGACACAATTGTTATGATCCTCCTGAAACTCCAAACTACAATGTTCACATCGTCTACGGAACGGTTAATCATTTTGCTGGTGATCTACTACGTACTGAATTTTATTTGCAAAGCGAAGTACGTGCTCACAGACCTTATGAAGCGGCAATTGTCGATGAAGTCGATAGTATGTTTATCGATCAACATCAACATTACACACAATTAGCATCCCTTACACCAGGGTACAAATCATTAAATGTTATCTTGCGATTTATCTTCACATTCTTCCAAAAGTTCAATATTACTGAAGAGAATGAATTTGTCATTCGGCAACCACATGGATATGTGAAAAGTGAGTAATTTTTCTTTAGTTACAAAAAAAGTAACTGAATTTGAAATCATTTTATATAGTCGACGCTCTAACTTTTATTCGAGACAAATTGAATAATAATGAACTTATTCATTTTCCAGCATATCGTCAATCCTATATCAATACTAAATTACCGAAATGGATAAAGGGTGCAAGACGGGCACTCTATGATTTAGAACAGGATGTTGACTATGTCATTAGTAAAGATGGACAAATAATAGTGGTAGATTATGTCAATACAGGCGTGTCCCATTTGAATATGAATTGGAGTGATGGCGTTCATCAATTTCTTCAGTTAAAACACAATTTACGCATGACACCTGAACGCATCTGCGATTCATTCATTTCTAATGTTACTCTTTTCAAACGATATCAACCACATATATACGGTGTAACGGGAACATTGGGTGGTAAAGATGCACGAAATTTTATCCAATCGGTCTATCAGATCGATACTGTCATTGTGCCCAAATATGTTGATAGTGCTTTTGATATCTATCCAAGTAAGTCCAATTGTGCTAGTATTTTTGACGTATCAAAAATTCAATTCGTATCATACGATTTCTGCTGACTTTCATTAGTCGAAGTCTTCTATCGTGCGGTTCACTATGTAAAATTTTTCTTTTTTGAACAGGTCAATTCGGTCGAGATCGTAAACATTGGTTGGATAAAATTCGAGTCGAATGTGATGAAATAGCTATTAAGAATCGTCGAGCTGTTTTGATTATTTGTCAAACCATTCAGGATGCTGATGATATTCAGTTATCCTTACATTCTCAACATCCTCACTTGAACCTGTATCTTCGCAGTGATCTAGCCGAGCATCATAAACCAGAGCTAGTTCATTCAAGTGAAGTAATCGTGGCCACGAATCTAGCTGGACGAGGTACCGATCTGAAAACAACGACAGAAATCGATAACCGAGGTGGTCTACATGTAATCGTGACGTTTATGCCAAAAAATTCACGTATTGAGCAGCAAGCATTTGGACGAGCTGGAAGACAAGGACAACCGGGTTCGGCTCGATTGATTGTCTATAATAAAAAATCCGTGACAACTTTGCATAAGATCGATGACGTTGAAATAATCAATAGATGGAAACAAGTTCGGGATCAACAAGAAACAAGTGAGATGGCCATGGCTATAGAAGAAGTGAAGCGTATTGAAGCGAAAGATTGTCTTATCGTTCGTTTTCTTGATCTTGCTCATTCGAAAAAAAATGATCTTCCATTTACCAATGACGCATTCAAGCCAGGTTTCAGTTCATTTCGTGAACTGTGGGCTTCATTTTGTGATGAAAACGAAAACACAGTCGAACAGTGTTTTCCGAGATTTGCTACAGACATACAGCAGCGACTCGAAGCCTCAATCACCATCTTGAAACGCAACGTAGTATTTGAAAACGACAGATCATTGTTCACTATGCCACAAGATCTGAAACAATCTCGAGCTCAATACCTAGCTGATCTTCAATGTGAAGCAGTCAGTCAATTGATTGCTCATCCAAAATATTTTATTTATGCCGGTTTTCATGCCATGTGTATGAATGAACTAAGCGATAAAAGGAAAAGAGCATTGAAATTATATGAACGCGCAATAGAATTAGATGATCAAGATTTTATTGCTCATTACAACACAATACCGTGTTATATTGCAAATAGCCAATCATCAATCGATCGAGTTATACAAGAATTGGATGAGACACTTCGCTTACTTCATCGGGAGATTGAAACACGCAAACTTATTCAGGTTTTTCATGATCCACCAATGTCACAGGATATTAAAACAGAAGTAAGTAGGAACAAATCAAAGTTGTTGTTAAGAATAAAACTCTTATTGCAGACAAAAGGCCTTGTCGATCGAACAATTCTTACCGAATTGATCTATCTTGAAATCGTTCAAGCAAATTTGAAAAGTAGTCGAGAACAATTGACACAATTCAACGAGGATAAACATGAAATACAGTGTCGTTTCGAGCATTGGCCAGAGACATTAGTCTGTTTACAAGGAACAAAATTTGAACCATTAACAAACGATATTAATGCTGAAAGAGAAGAATGGCTGGCCGAAGGATTAATGTGGCGGTATGTGTTTATCATTGAACAGAAACGATGTTGGTGGAAAACTGTTTTCGTGTTTGTCATGGGAGTCGCACAGATTGTTGGTGGAGCATTCTTATGTGCTGTAGGACATTATCGACTAGGTACATCGATGATTCTTGATGGATTGAGCGATGTTTATAGAGCTGTTGGTAAGTAATGAGAGAAAAAAAGAACTAGATTAATATTTTGAATTAACGAAAAAGTTTCAATGAATTTTAGTGACAAAAATTACATCTGATTTTGATCTAGCAGATTATTTTGAATCGACAGTGATCAAATATAGTAAAGATCTGTTATGTGTTGGAGTATCCCTGCTAAAATCTCTTGAGCCGATCGCTTTGTTACAAGACATTAAAATGGTTGGTATCACTATCGATGCTACTCACCAAGTGACCACTAATGAATTCTCGGTAGAAACTGTGACGCAAATTGCTATGGAAGGGTTGGATATTGCTGGAGTCAATCAAAATATCATTAGTTTTGCTAAACAACTACCCGAATGGATAAAAGAAGCGCAAGCATTGCTCAGTAGTGATCTGGAACAAATGTTGAGACGAGGCACGTCAGTCTATGTTGATCGATTCATGAGCTTATTCAATGAAAAATCACTGTTCAGCGATAAAGAACAGGAAATGTTCGATCTTTTTCATTATCAAGTGCCTGCTGGCCAACATATAATTAGTGACAATGACCAAAACATTTTTTCACATGCTCTTAATACTATGAATGAACATGTTAATAAATTACCACTCACCGATATATTGGGTGTAGTGCTACAAAATGCTTTTGAACGTGTTGTTAAACATGAACAAACCGAAATTCGTGATCTTTTCACAACAACTATTAAACAGCTCAATTCAAATGGAGGTTTCGACAATCAAACACATAAACTCATAACTAATATTCTTCAATCGTCTGACAAATTTTCTATTTTTGAAAACACGAAACACCAATTAAATGCTGATGTTTGTCGATTGCTTGGTCCAGTTATTGAACGAGAAAATCAATTTAAGAATGAGATTAATTGTTTGAAGAATAATCATCAAGTGATCGAAGATTATCGCCGAGCTTTCGATGTTCTTAATGTTACCTTTGGTACAGCTTCAGCACAGCAAGCTAATTTGCAAAAGATCATTGAGCAGCAATCAAACTCAGGCGGTAGACTGTTAAACAGAGCAATGAAATATTTCATTAGTGAAGTAACCAAACAAGAGCATGGAATAACAAGTACAAAAGCAATGAAGCTACTTGAAGAGTATCTCGTCCAAAACGTCATACGACCCCGTCTAGAAAATGAATGTGAACGACAAATGGATGAAAATGACATTAAACTTGCCGATAATTTTACCGAAGCATTCATCTATGTACAGAAACAACAAGAAAAACTTCGACAGCAGTGAAAATAAGAACGACTTCTTTTTTTCATTAATAAAGAAAAGAAAATGTATCATTCTATTTAATTCTTATTTTAGAAAGATGACTGAGTAAAACAATGAATTGTTCATTTTGAAATAGTTACATTGAATCGCTGTAAACGATTCTGCTAAAATGTTGAAAGTGATTGTGTGTTCGCAACAATCATCGTTCATTTTCGTGGCTATAAACTCCAGCATTAACTAATCATAGTGTTGTAAAGATTCAAATTACAGATTCAAGTGAATACTTAGAAAAAAAACTTTAAAACAATGGGTGTTATGAGAATGCTACGACCTGTTAACTTTTGAAAACCTTGAAAAAAAGATTTCAACAGCCCACAACTTCGTCAACTAGTCGGATATTGACACTTCTTGGATGACCGTAATACTTTACGTTTTTCTTAGTCTTTCATAATTTGCCATCGTAACAATAGTTGTAAACTATGTAAAGATAGCAAAACAAAAAAGCAGAAAAAAAGCAAGGATTCTTATCTTGCGACCAATTAGCAGTGCTACATTTATGCTAGTAAACGTTAAATTAGTCTAATTACAAAAAAAATATGGGACGTGTTAGAACTGATTTCTAACTTTTACCAAAAATAGTGGCGGATGGACTTTTATTACTCTTCTCATATTTCCATGAAGAAATAGTTTGAATGATCACCTGAGTGCATATCCTTGCCTTCTTGATCACTACAAACTCAAAAGTTATGAGTTAGTTCTAGTGTCTAACTTTGTTAATTATCAGCTAGTAACAAGATCGGTCTGACTGATCTTAAAGTCAAATTTACTGTGCGCTGTTTCCTAAATATGTTCTGACAAACGGACTTCTTACAAACATTTGGATATTGTAAGCAGATTCGTTTTCAATTTGTTTGTTTATCGTCTTATCCAACCATATAGGTAATGCAAAATTATCTAATTGATAAAGTGAAACATTTCTTGCCGACTTGGAAAGCTAATGAATAAAATTTTCTAGGATAATACGTTTACATGAAGAACGAAAAATAATACTTGACAAATGTTCAACATTCTCTAAAAGCGAACATTCGATGTTATTTGGAGTGTATTCATGATTATATCGCTTTCGCCCAAAAACAAAACTTGACAACTGATATCAAAAAGCGATTTAAGTGCAACAAATTTTGAGAGAATGACAAATCTTGAGAGGTATTTGGCTAAATCGATGGCATATACTCGATCTATCTTGAGTGTAAGTTCGGACACATTTAGAAACAAAGGATTAATTTGTGTTGCAATCTAGAAATTATGAATTGTGCTAACTTTAAAAAAAAACAATTAGAAAAAGCGAGATGAAAAGTATCTACATGGTATAGATCAATTGCAACACAACAGCAAGCTGTTCACTATGCATGTTAATGACAATTCTATCCATTTTATGCAATAAATGTTGTTTTACAAAATATTTCTTATAAATAATTATATCAGCATGTATATCTTTCTTATATCTGTAATTATTGTTGTATTTTTCTGCAACAATGTTGATTCGAGAACAATATTAGGACACTCACAGTTTGTATAGTGACATAAGTTTCCTCAATGCTCAAACTTGATTATAAATAATAAATATTTTTCATGATAGGAATATTGTAATTGAATGTAGACAATGTAGAATCAATGATTGTATTCGATTTATCATGATATATGAAGTAGTTTTGACAGATACGTATGGAATAAAGTTGAGTATTTTTATTTTTGATTTAATTGTATGAGACATACTAACGTCTAATTTCGAACCAAAATGATGTTCTGAATGAAAGAATTAACGATTCAATTTCATCAAAACTTCTTGTAAATGAATGGTAACAAGATAAAAAGAATTCAAATTTTTTTAATAATGCTTAATTTGTTTCAATCAATTGTTACCATCGAAAGCCATTCAATATAGTATCATAGCTGGACACGCTTCCAGTCAGTCGAAAAATGAGTAAGTATGGGTATAACTGAAAGAATGAATTACATTTTGTTCATTCCTAGATAACAAATGTGTCTAATGCAAGTGAAGTTAAATGTCTTGGTGAGATTAGATCAGATTGTGGAGTAGACATTTTTTTTGCATTCAAATTGATAAGAAACTTTCAGACAAAGCGTTTTCGGATAAGGTAAATGGCCAAGAATAACGAAAAATTGATTCCAACTATCCACATTGACTGTTACATGTTTCAGTATACATTGAACAGACCAGTTGATATTACTTTGAATATAATGAGCAATGCCCAAATCGAGGTTCCGAATATTGTTTTGCGCTTTGACAAATGAGATCAAAATTGCCAGCATGTGATTGTATTGATAATGTTTTAAGCGAACAATGGAAGACTTGTTGAAGAATTAAATTTAGATCGTTCTCTTTTGTACGAATAATAGTCAGTGAATTGATACATAGAAAAGAGAGAAAGAAAGAATTGAATTTGACCTGATGTGTTTTCGACATCCGGAAGTGTTACTGACACGATATTTATTGGATGAATCAATTTGCATAGAATGTGAAATTTCGGTTTTGAAATTTGACGAAAATCTAATTTCAATTGATTGTAAGTATTCATAATCGTGTAGAATCGTTTGCATACATCACAAACTGAAAGAATAATTCTCTGCTCATCAAGATGAGCAAAAATACGATGAATTCATTCTACAGATGGCGTGTAAAGAGACAGCATCTATTCAGTGAATGCAAATCATAGTAAAAGCATTGCTTTTATTTTGTTTTCTGACTACCAGTTGGTATTGTGCAAATAATTTTTGAGTAAATAAAACATACTCCTTTTGTTCTGCAATAAAGAGGAGAAGAAAATATAAAAGAAATATTTGTTTCTCATTCTCCTATGCGTACTACGGAATGACAAGCAAAAAAATAAGTAAACAAAATTGTGCAAGCAAGAAAATGGCTTACTCGATGAATGTTATAACTGTTGATGATTCATTTTCCTTTTGATTGACTTTTCTGCAAACTATGAATTCAGTGAATAATTACTTCTATCAAAAAAGTTCAATTTCACAAAAGGCAATGTGATTTGTGCAAGACTAACGTAAATCATGATAGAAATAATTCTGCACTTGTCAAAAACACTATTTTAGTCGTGATCGATGGAACACAACTACGATTGCGTGGAAACAAAATCGTCATCAATATTTGAATACGAAAATGTGAAGAGAAGATCCACAATATTCACCTACCCACATTTTTAAGCACTTAATAATATGTCTAGTACTACGCATGTTCTATAGTTTTTACATGAGAAAAGGCATACAATGTAAGTTTTCTTGGCAAACCGGTAGTTCGTTCGCTTGACTATGTTGTTTCTTTTTTTATCTATCAAGTTGGATTGTATACGGTGAAAATACATCTTTAATCAACAATGTATGCGTTTTTATCAAGCAAGAATGATTGGTATAAATGATCGAATCATCAACATAAACAATGACGATATTGTAAATTATATTGGCTTGCTTGGCAATGCTTAATATTTTTATGGTCTATTAAACTGAAAAAAGGGTTTGTTAAAATCTTTTTGTCTTAAATTTAAAGCTTTCATATTTTTAAACTATAAACAAACTATGTATAGCAATGGCAAATACAGTGAAGCACATGAAGAATATCGAAATATCTTTGAGTTCTATACCTCTCATTGTTTGAAAAGGATTGACTACGGTTCCATGTGTAACCAGTTGATATTTTCTACTATGTAAGATTCTATTTTTTATGATGCTTCCTAATATTCCCATATCGTCCTCAGTACTTTTGTGTTAATGGTTTCCAATTACTTTAGAAACTGCGAACAGTTCGAGTCTGGTAGAAATAGAAAATAGAGGTGAGGGGACTTTCTGGCAAAAACAGAAAAAAAGATGTGATGAACTTTATTATAGGAATAAATTATAGCGATAGGAGCATGTTCTTTTGTCGATGCAATATTGCTATCATCATATTTTGACCAGAAACAAAGAACATCATCGGCCAGATATAAGGTGGGTGTGCGTATAGGTTTCGGTGTCCGTATACATGCAGGTAGGTAGCATTGATTTGGTTTATATCAACGGCAATAACGTACTGTCTCTCTCGAATATACTTATCGAACTAATGAAAACAATCCAATGGATAAATATAAAATATTAACAGTTATCTGATTATTAGTTTATTTTTGAATGAAATGAAAATTTCAATTGAGCATACATATGCTTTACATAATTGAAAATGTCATTGTTTATAATAATTAACATCAAGTTGTATTGATGCGTGTTGGGTATAATGTCGTTGCATCATCTTTGTTCAAGATGATTCCTTTGTAATATAAAATTTGATAGATTTTGTTTTACAATTTATTTAATGGTTTATTTTTAAAAATAATATTTCCTACATAACGAGCACCATATTTAGTCAAATGTGCTCCATCATGTGATATTAATTTTCCATCACGAGTAAAAAGAGGACATAGCTAATTATATCCAGTACAGATCATCTTTCGCACATTGACAAATATTGATTTATCTATTGTTTGTTCTAATAAATTATTGACTTTGATAATTTCTATCTTCGAGTATTGATATTGTTTAAGTCGATATTCAGTTGATTTATTAACATATAATATTGGATTAACATGCCAAAAATGTTTCAGTCCAATAATAAATATTTGTTGCTGTTTTGTTAAATTTACTAATTTTAATGTCATTGATAAGCGTTTAGCACTCCATTCATACCAATTACTAGCTAAAATAATAACATTAGCTTGACGAATAAGTGGTAAAGCATATTTAATATCATTAGCATTTGTACATTTTCGATGATGTTTTGTTTCGATAGATTGTTTTCGATCTTCTGAACCTAAATAAATTTGACATCGTGAATAAATAAAATATACACGGATTTCATAGTTGACCAGATGTTTTCCTTCAATAATCATATTATAAAAATCTTGTGCAAAACTATCGCCAATTAGTATCAATTTTTTGTTTGTTGTTGATGTTCGATTTGAAAATGTTTTTGTTTTTTTTCTAAAGCATCAAATGCTCCTACAACATATTCCCAATGACCATATTTTGTTAAATCAAATAGATAAGGATCCTTTTCTTTGTTCATTAATAATGTTCGATTAGTTGCAGTTTGAATAAGAAATAATGCGAGAATGAATGTCATTACAGCAGTTATACAAGAAGCAAAAAAATATTTGTTTTCGAGAAAAACATTTTTTATTACGAAATGGTTGTTCAACGAAGACATAGCTAAAACTACTAAGTAGAAAAATAATACTGACTATCATCAACATAGATAACAATTGCGGTGTATCATTGGATCGTAGACGAATAAAAGCGAGTAATGGTTGATGCCAAAGATAGGCACTATAAGAAATAAGACCCACCTAACGTAATGGGCGTATAGAAAGTAATCGTCCAACGAATGTATTTTTATTTTCAAATAGAATAATCAATGTTGCACCCAATGTAGGTATAAGTGTATAACAGTTCGAAAATGGAGGTACGTACTTAGTATCAAAGAACAGAATCGATATTATGATCAGTACAAGTCCAATGAAGACAAAGAATTCATTACATTTATTGAATGAGATCCTACTAAATGTCGAAAAAACATTTAAGATATTCAATTCAGAATTTATCCTTTCGAGAAAAAAGAAGTTGACGATCCATGAGCTGGAGGTATTGTTGTGAAAAAAATGTGAACGCGTAGCTCATTATTCAGTATGTCTTTAGATCTATTGAATTGTAGACTAAAGTGTGAGTCCATTGGAACGATTCAAAAGAATGGGTCCAATATTTTTAGGTAGGATGTCTATTTATTCTTGAACAACTTAAAATAAAAAACTGTCCGTTATAATCTGAATTTCCTGCTCCTTTTGAATATGATCTGAAAAATTTTGTAATTGAAAAAAGAACAAAATCGAAATAGTGCATTTTGCAGAACAAATTTTTCTTTACAAGCTGATATAATACCAAAGGTTCGAACATTTTGTCTTCAATGTCAATATTGAGAAGAGAAAAATTTGACATATAATAATTTTTCTTGAGAGACTTACTCATTACTCTCGAAAAAAACTTGATAGAAAATTTCTTAAATCATATTTGAAGAGAGAATACAATCCTGGTTATAATCCAGTTTTTATCATTTATTCAAGTAAAACAAAATAAACAAATTTTCTATCTAGAAACAGTCGATCTGTCAGTTATTGCTGCAATATATTTTTATAGAATTTTATTAGACATCGATATGATTAAGTGATCTTCTGGTTACATTATTTCGAAAATTTTTTAGGATAACCTAACATGCTTGATCATTACAATAATCCTTTTTTTTCTTCAGGAGAAAATCGTTATAATGCGTTCTATTAAGAAATCAAATAAGAAATATATCTTTTCTATTTGGATAAATTAAAAGAAAGAACACTGCGTTTTCATCATTCTTTTTTCTAGATTTATTGACACATAATTAAACTAGCTTATTGAAATAAGTTCAGTTTTTGTTGTACCTATTTGCGTCAACTCTATCGGCATGAAAAAGAGTAATTAATATAAAAATTTTAATATCGTTTTTTTGCAACTTAATTGAACAAGATAAATAACCATTAATATTGAATATACCCGACTGAACTATTGAGTCGTAAGTAGAAAGCAGTAAAAGAGCCGAGTAGTAACTCCCATGCTCTTCCTATAGGTAAGTAAAATGATGCCCACGCATGTTGAAAAAACATATGAAAATGATGATTGGAAATTGCCACCCCATTGAGCAAGAAAAAAATTTAGCAAAGCCAAACATATCAGTAGAATGATAAGACAATATTTTTTTCTTGCCAAAAAAATAACATATTAATGGAAATACAAAATAAAATTGTTCTTCGACGGCTAAACTCCACGTATGAATAAGAGGATTTGATTCTGTTAATTGTGTAAAATAGCCATCGTCTTTCCACCAAAAGAATATATTTGATGAAAGAGCAAGGATAGAAATTAAAGTTTGTCCGAATTCTTTCAATTGACCAGGTAACATCCAATGATAAGCAAAAATACTACTGATGAATAAAATGAAAACAAAGTGCTGGGAGAATTCGACGACATCGTCGTTCAGAAAAATGAACTAATGAAAATGTTTCTTCTTCACGTTCGTTCTCAATGACAGATGTAATTAGATAACCACTAATCACAAAGAATATATCAACACCTAATAACCTCCAGCAATAGACGTAGTGAGACCAGTATGATATCAAATGACTGGAATAACAGTAACTGCTCGTAGTCCATCGATTTCTTCTCGATAAATTGACATTATAGTGGATGAAGAATATCAGAAATTAATGTTTTAGTCACATATATATCCAATATTACGGATAAAAGAATAAACAATAACTGACGCATTTAATTGATAGTACAACGAAAAAATATAAAATCGCATTTTTTCCTTTGAGAGGCAATTGTAAAGAAGTACAGGACTCATCACAAATCGCTTTTTCGTTGCGATAAGAAAACATTTTATACTTATATTTCATTATTTATGGCGCTCATAAAATACTTAAGATTCATGTAGTTGTCCTTCCACTCCTTAAATTTAATAATACGAAAATGTATTACACGAGTTTCATCCATCCTTATCTTCTGCTTCAAATAAAACTCTTCATTTGCTTGAAAAGTATAGAACGAACGAAGATTTAGCTTTTTAAGATGTGGAGAACCTTGTAGTTGTCAGTCGAGATTTTCTTTTTATTTCTCGAACTTTGCACTAAAAGTCCATACATTATGACGCAACGATCTTGAGAACCATAAGTCGTCCAATATGTGTTGAAATGTCATTAGATAAGTTGAGGTCTATACATAATATAAATGTTATTCGATTTTCAGTATGATACTTCGTTCGCCTAAAGTAAAATTTAGATATCATTAATGATCTGTGGATTCTTTCTTCATTTTGTCGATATAATAGTGCAAAACTAAATGGTAAAAAGATTTCTACAGTATTTCTATTTGATTGATCATTTTTTTTCATTTATTTGAAGGACAAGTTCTATACAAATCATTGAAGTGTTTCAATATAAAATTAACTTGTTATCGCAGCCCCTTTGGGGCTGAAATGTGGAACTATCATATACTTTCTAGTCTTATTAAACTAATATACAATACGTAAAGTGAAAAGCATCTTGTAGAATATAGTTGTTTTTCAGGATAGTCGATTACTAGAGTAAGGATTTCTCTAATTTCTGTATCCTAAACAGAAATTTTTTATCTTTTCTACGAAAAAAAACTCTAGAAAGTTAGACGTCCACTATTCTCGATTGCTAAAGTCTGTAATGGAGGAGAGGAGGATCCACGAAACTTCGACTTAAAACTTAAACACTCTATTTTCTTTGAAAATATATGTGAATTTCACAAGAAACATTATCAAGTTTCATGCTGTTACAGATTTTTCATTCCAGGTGAGAAAAAGTCGAACTCAGGTATGAGAGAGATTTAGATAACAGTGACAAAGACAAATAGGTTTAGTTTTGAGGCTCGAGAAGGTTTGTCTTTGTAAATTGGAGAAAGATTTGATATAACGAGATAGGGTGAATTGCACATATCCCACGCATTGTCGCTATCCAAGCAGACAAAAAAAAATGAAAAAAACACATCAAAATTCATATGAAATTGAAGCAATATAAAAAAAGTTGTTATCGTAAATCATTTCGGGAGTAATATGTAAAACGCGGAATTAATATATGTACTTTTAGATAGAAAAATGATTTCATGAGATAACTTCTATTAATATTATGTCTCTATGTTGTGAATTATATTGTTTAACTATTATATTCTTGGTCTTTGATAAAAATACATTTATAGAATGAACTCAATCGAATTCAATATATAAATTTCAGTTGACTTGCACTTCTTAGCTGTATCTAAAACAGCATGTTGGGAGTTCAAATTTCTGCTTCTATATTGCAACACTGATTGTAGATCGTGTCTCACAAAAGAGGGAAGGGAAAAGACTTTTGATCAGATGCGGAACCAACTACCTATCTGCTTACCCTATCACAGTTAAAAAAGATGAAATGGAAAAGAATTTCTTGTTTTCTTCTGGATATCATCAATATTTGACTTTGTCAAGTGTAAATGTTACACTTGCATCATTGTTCTCGGATGTTTTTTCTATTCTTTCTATCCACTATAATCATGAACATTAGTGAAGGAGAAAACCTAGTCACATAGGAGAATAGTTATGCGTATGATGTTAGAGAAGGAAAATAAGTTGGAAGAAGAATAAAATATAGAGAATGCAGACAGAAAGTTACAGTGCATAATATAACAGCGGAAGGCCATGTAAATCAGTATTGATTATGACCGATAGTTGAAATATTGGCGATTTTACCTTATAATTTTTCATGACTTATATAAATCTACAATATTAAAACAAATAAGCCTACTACACCAAACATATTGTTTGCTGCTTTTTTTAATATCATTTGTCCTTAGAGGAATACGGAAACTAATAATTAACATAGTAAAGAATTTGTATTCAGTGTTCACCAAAGTCAAAAATAATCATCCAGTCATTTTAAATATTTGATTGCCCTTCCGATTATTGGCTGTTGTCTAACTTGAATAATTGAACTGTATGTTACACATATATTCATGTTATCATCAAAATCTGAATGAAAAAGAAGCAAGCATAGAATGCAAATTGATTAGCTTATACCAGTTAGAAGAATTCGCATACACTTCTCGCTAAAGACACTAACAAGGGAACCTTCCCAGGTGCCAGAGCGCTTTTCAGTCGGGGTTTTGCGCATCTTGTAGCCCATAGTGAGCTATGTCTATGGTTAAAAAAGTTCGTCCCCCTGGCTTGTTTCTGAAGAGATAGAGCATTTTTATNNNATTATTAATTCAAAAGATGATGAAATGACGGATATATATCTAAGATATT